CCTGCCTGCCTGCCTGCCTGCCTGCCTGCCTGCCTGCCTGCCTGCCTGCCTGCCTGCCTGCCTACCTACCTATTTATCTATCTATCTTATTTAAGAACCATCCCTCTCCCGATAGGGCAGGGGTGCCAAATTCAAGGCCCAGGGGCCAGATCCGGCCCACAGGGTGCTTAGATCTGGCCCACGTGGTTGTCCTGGAAACAGCAAAGAACCGGCTCGCGGGGCCTCTGCCAGCAAAAACAGAGCTCAGGAGAGCTGCTGACAATAAGGGTTGCAGGAGGCCATCGCAGTTGAAAACGGAGCTCGGGAGCCCATTTTCGTGGGCAAAGCACTCGGGCCAACACAGGCGTCCCCAACCTGAGTCACTTTGAGTTGTCCACGGCCACCCTAGGCACGCCCACCCCAGCCACGGCCACTCTGACCCACCAAGGCCAAACACAACTCTGATGCAGCCCTCAATGAAATCAAGTCTGACACCCCTGCTGTAGGAGGCAGTATGTAAAATTTAAAAGAGGCAAGGGATGTTAAAAGCTGATTTAAAGGCAAGGGGAAGGGCTGTTTCAAGGAGCTAACCAACCGCAGAGTTTGGTGCTTTGGTGCATATCCCAAACAAGGCCACAGAGCCATGTTTTCATACCTTTACGGAAGGCCAATAGAGTGGGGGCCTGCCTCACCGCTGGGGGAGGGAAGAATGTTCCACAGGCAACGGTGGGCAAGAGCAGAGAAGGTTGTCTTCCTACACCACACCAGTCGGGGTGTGTAACATGCCTTCCCTCCTAACCGGGTGGGATGGATCGATGTAACGGGATGACGGTGGCTCCACAGGTATCCTGGCCCTGTGTCACTTAGGGAAGTGGATAATGTGGGCATATAATGTACATGGGTAGGACTCAGCCATGGTTGGTCAGATGACCTCATTTCTGCATTGCTTTCTTTTGTTTTTCTCCACAAACGTTCTTAGAACTTCCTGTTCTGACCCAGGCTGCCTTAAAAAGCAAGAGGCAGAGTCTGGGTCCCAGCAAACACCCCTTTTATTGGCACGACTGTGGATTCCTTTCATTCACAGTCTGCAAGGCTTGGCAAACAGTCTTTCCGAGGAATGTTTATCCACACGCACCTTATCTCGCTTGGAGAGCTGCCAGATAAGTAGTTTCCAAATGCAGGGCAAGGCAAAACTTGGCACAGAGTCTCTTATAGCCACAAACAGAACTTTCCTCTCTTGAAACGACTGAATGGGTGAATTGTTTCCTGCAAAAGCCCCCTCCCCATTCGCTCCTCTTCTGTTTCCTGTGGGAGGGGCCAATCACCTCCAAGGTGTGGCTTTACTCCCACGTAGACTCTGCTTTCTTAGATGTTCTTGTCTTCTGGCAGCTCGGCGCATGCGCACACTGGGAACGGGCTCCAGTTGTTCCTCCGCCTCACTGCCATCTAGCTCCCTCTCTGCCTCCGATGCAGAGCCCTCGTCCGAGCCTTCCTCAATCCCCAGCAATAGCAATAGTTAGACTTATATACCGCTTCATAGGGCTTTCAGCCCTCTCTAAGCGGTTTATATAGTCAGCATAT